TCATCATCATCATCATCATCTTCATCATCATCATCGTCGTCGAAGTCGTCTTCGTCGTCATCGTCATTGTCATCGTCATCACCACCACCACCACCACCATCATCATTATCATCATCACCATTATTTTTTCTTTTTCCTGCGTTTTTCTTTTTTTGTCTTCTTTTTCGTCTATTCTCGCTTTCTGGACGTCTTTTGCATGAATCAGTTCTTTAATCATCATCATCAACATCATCATCATTATCTTCCAGCTTGTTATTGTTTTCTTTCAATGTTTTCTATCTCTATATTTTTCTCTTTACAATTTTCAAACTAATTTTACTGAAATGTAAAATGTTTGTAATATTTCACTAATGTAAACTTTTCTAAGAGTTCCTGTGATGAGATCTATTGCTATAATGGGGGAACCTGTCAATCCGGATTTACCGTGAAAGGATATCGATGTTTGTGTCCCCCTGGTTATACTGGAGAACGCTGCCAAAAAGGTAGGAAGCCGCCAGTTGCAATGTTTTCTCCTTAATACCGCCTGGCTCAATATTGACTTTTTTTTATAAGAGTATGTCAGCCATCAGACATAAAGCGTACTTGAAAATGAATCAAATCGATTTGATTGCGATTTATAATTTTCATTTCACAGACATAAACGAGTGTGAAACAGGAGAGCATAATTGTAATGCAGATCACGCGTACTGTAACAATACCAAAGGATCCTTTACTTGTTTTTGCAAGCCAGGTTTTACTGGAAACGGTCTTAATTGCACAGGTAACAATATCTAAACGCTTAGATATTTTAAGAATCAAACGAATACCAGTAGATATAAAAAGGAATTCAGTAAGATCTGAGAAGAGACAACGTCGGTAATAGAACGAAACCAGTCGGATTCTTGGAGTGTATTAAGTACAAACCCATGGTTATGTCAATGCTTGTGTTCTTGAGATCCTCCACTGATTTTAATAAGACGCCTCTATTATAACTTCCTATTTTCAGTAACTACCCCCTCTTTCATAGAAGAGGGGACTGAAGCCGAGTACATTCACTCTCCCTCGCGCGCCCCGTTCTTTGTTGTGATTCTGCCCATTACTTTTAAGCGCCTGATAATTACGCAGGCCATGCCATGGTGAAGAAATGTGACAGTTAGCTGGATTTGTTCACGGTATTACGAGAAAAACATATCCATCACCACGCTTGTAAATGCCATATACCGTAAAATTCCGAAAATAAGCCCTGGGGCTTATATTTTTCAAAGGCCCTTTTTGAGGGGCTTATTTTTGGAGGGGCTTATATTCGGAGGGGCTTATGTACGGAGGGAAATTTGCGTTTCAAAATTGATTGGGCTAGCCTTATAGTTGAAAGTAAATTTACCGTTTTTGCTTTGTTTTACTTTGTCTTAGAGGGCAATTTTCCAAGTACAAGCCCCTGGGGGGCTTATATTCGGAGGGGCGATTTAACGGAGGGTTTTTTTGCGTTACCGGTTTGGGGGGCTTATATTTGGAGGGGCTTATTTTCGGAATTTTACGGTATATATTGGCGATGATGATGATGATGCTGATAAATCAGCTCCACTAAAATATCGAGATTCTCCACTGAATGGCAGATGGAATTTCCAAAAAAAAAAACCGGTATTATATAATAACCAATCATTAGAAACTAGTTTCTAAAATTCTACTCGAAATTATCGATTATATTACGTAACAACATATGTCAACCCACCCAGCCCCAATTGTTCAATTGTTCCTTGAGGTTGAATCACGGAGGAAACGTTGATCGATTCTTTTTATCGTTTTTAGATGTTGATGAGTGCGTCCACGGATCACATGAGTGCCTTCAAAGCCTCGCGTCTTGCTCAAATAC